TTCCTCTTTTTTTAACCATAAATGTTTTTTTTAAATTTAATGTCTAAATAATCAATTTTCTATTTTATTTTCTTAATTCTTATCTTTAAATAGTTTCATATAAAAACAAACATCTAATAAATACTCTTCTTTTGTTATTGGAATATTATGATTTAATGTAACTGTTCTTAATACCTTAAATAATGCATTTAAATCATCTAATGATTGTGGTTGAATAATAACAACAAAATTTTCCCCAATAATTAATTTGATTTTGTTTAGTTCATATTTTGAAACATAGTTGATTGTATATAATCCATACTCTTCTTTAATCTTTCTATGTCGAACTAATCGTAATTTCCTTTCAACAAAACAAATCCAAATCAATCTATACACTAATGGCTGTCCTTCTTTGAATCCAACAGCAACATCAAAATATAAATTATCTACTTTTGTTCGATTCTCTTGAGGTACAGCTATTGCCTTTTCAATTAACTCTTTTGATGTCTCATCTAAATCTCGTTGCTTTTCTGCTTCAGCCATCTCTTTTCTTTTATTCTCAGTTCACTATTCTATTTTTATCAATGAAATTCTGTTAAATTCTATTCATCTACTTCTTTTTACTATTTATTTATAGAATTTGTTTTTTATTTTTTATTATTATTTTATTATTATTATTTTTTTATTAATTAATAACATTTCCCTATTCTTCTTATATAATCTTCTTTGTATTTGGTAAAAATTGTAGTAACTTCAGTGTGATTTAATTTTGGAGTCGTTAAAGGCAAGAAAAGTTCACCAAAGCTAAGAGAGAAAATATTCCTATTCTTAAAAAAATGTATTTTTTTTCTTTTTTCATGTTAAACATCGTATTTCATTCTTTTTGTATCACTAAAAACTCAACTCAAAAATAAAAGCTGATTTGAAAATTGAATGTCTTAAAATATACTCTTTTTGAACTTCATTTAAAAAAATTCTAAAAAACGTTCAGATTAATCTTATTCTATTATCAAATTTTTTTGAAATAATTTATTGATAAAATAAACTAATTTTTATTAAATTTTGGGTTGTATTTTAGAATATGAGTAACATTAATTTAAATTAGATTTATAAATGATATATAATTGAAAATGATAGACTATTTTTTTGTAGCAAACTCCTTTTTCATTTTATGGATGAAAAATGACTTTGTTTTATCACAAACATTATTTTCTTGTTTTGAAAATTAAAAACCTTTACTATTGAATAAAATAAATATTTAATAAATATTTTCAATTCTCAAAAAAATTAATGATATAAAACTGTAATTGTTTTCGTAATTAGAAATGAAAGATAAGAAAATAATTTAATTTACTAATCATTGTGTTTATCTTTTCTTTTACTCATTTTCAAATAATAATTAAATAAATTTAAGAGTTGGTCAAATGTGAGTTTTAACTTATCAGTATTTCTAAACAAGAAAATATGATAAGTAATTGTTATATCAAAACTTCTTTTTAAAACATTTTTTATTTAATAAATTATATTGTTTTTCATTCTTCTTAAATCATTACAGTATTAATAATAAAACTATGACGTTATAAGAATTAAAAAACTTATCTTATTATGTTGTTTTTTTTTTCTCTCATAATGTTTGTTATTTTTTATTTTATAACAACTAACTCTATGATGAATTAATATTTTAATGAATAATAATGTTTTATAATGTTTATTCATAGTTTGTTTTGTGGTTCTTAATGGTATTAAATAAAGGTATTTAAGTCTATATATATTTGTTTGAGTAGTTTTTGCTGAGAGTGATACGTTTTAATTTGTTTGAACTGTGATTATTATTAAAATGGTGCTACTATGAAAAGAATCCATTCAAGAATCTATCCAAGGGTTAGACATTTGTTTCTTAAATTATTGAGGTACACACATCATCTCTGACATTATATAAAACCCATTGCTATGACAAATATATTTTTATAGCATGTCTTGAAGGTTATGTATAATACACAATAATTAGATTTAAAAAATGTATTTATTTAGTGTTTTTATTACTCATTTGACAATTTATGCTCTTTATAAAAATACTTTTTTTCATGAGTCACAAAATATTTGGAAGTTAATTAAAATTTTGTTTTACAAATATGAACAAAAAAAAATTTTACCAATAAGATAAGTTAATTTGAAAATTTTTCATTTTTCATGCTTGGAACAGTAAAACATTTGCTTCTATTTGACAGACACTCTGTTCAGTTTAATGTTTATGAAACAAAATATTTACAATTTTATTTCCAGATATAAAAATAAAATATTTTTACTTTATATTAATATTTTTTTTAATTTCCATCTTTGTTTCTTTAACAAAATAAATTTTTCAGAAATTTCTTATTTTCAATTCACAATAATACAAAAATAGAGAGAATAAATTATTAGTCTCTTCAAAATACCATTCTATTTAACAAATTTTATATAGTCAAAATAAATTTAAACAACTAGTCAATAGACTTTATAATTTACAAAGAAGGTAATTTTACTAAAAATACTTAAAATTTGTTTCTTCACAAAAAAGGTTTTACAGAACAGAACGTATCAAGGTTTTAGTACGTTAGAGAGTAAGTATTTCATAATTTTATTTTATAAATAGACTTCTGATTAAAAAAACCAAAGAATTATTATAAAAATAAAACAGTATATTTTTGGAATTATCTACATAAACATGTTTGAGTCAATATAGAATTTTGGTACATCTACACACTTAGACTTAATAAAAACTATTACTAAAAATGGTTGTTTCAAACAAAAATTCTTCAAAACTATAAAAGGCTATTCATAAATTAGGAGATGATTAAAAAATAAATAATAAAAAAGAGGTTATTACCATAATTTGAGAATTTTATAAAATTAAACAACATAATTTATCAGTAAATAATTATAAACATTAACTTAACATAGATAATTACAAATTTTCTTACAATAAATAATAGACTTAATAGGAGTTATTTATGTCTTTCTATTAACACAATAAACATTAATAGGTTTCAAATATATATTTAGTTATGAAACCTAAGAACATTATATTAAAATACTTCTTCCTTATTAACAAATAATACATTTTTCTTTTTTATTCTTTTTCGGTTTCTCTTGTGCTCTAAACATTTCAAAGACACCATTAAATAATTCTGTTATACCTTCTTCGTTTAAAGCAGATATTTCTGTATAAAATCCATTTTTAATTCTTCTTGCCACATCATATCCTTCTTCCTCTTCTATTGTTTCTTGTCTATTTTTTTTCTTTCTTAAATCCTTTTTTGTTCCAACAAGAATAATTGGAGCATTTGAGTTTTGGTGTTGTATTTCTGGAACCCAAGTACTTTCAACTCTTTTAAGAGAATCAGGTTTATCAATAGAATAACAGATAACAAAGAAATTAGCATCCATATATAAACTCTTCCTAAGACATTCATAATCTTCCATTCCAGAACAATCTTTTATTACTACATGATATTCTTTCTCTCTATATGTTTTATCTAACTCAACTCCATCAAACATAATCGGGATATAATCCCGTGGAAATTTTCCATCACGATATGTTATTAATAATGCAGTTTTACCAGCCTTTGAATCTCCAAGAACAACAATATTTATTTGAGAAATAGACTCTTTTTTTGTCATTTCATACAATGACTTTATGAGTTCTTTCTTTTATTTAAATATTTGTTAATTAAAAATAAAGATGTGTTGAGGCGGAATAATAAGTCTTACTTTTCTTTCGACACGTCATTCTGTTATATAAATCGTAGAATATTATTTTATTGTCAAGTAAATATAAAATAAAAAATGAACAATTTTATTCAATTAAGATAAAAAAATTGAAGATGTTTAAAGATGTTTTCTTTATTTTCATTTTGAATATTAATCTCAATTAAATATACTTCATCTTTATTCATATTTTCAATATTTGTTACTATCATTGTTATTTGTTTCTTTCCTGTATTTTTAATTTTTTCTCCCTCTTTAATCATTGTTCCATTTACCGTTTTGATATTCATTTGAAGTGTATATTCATTTGGTAATTCATTTTTCCCTACATTTCGTATTAATATTTTACATATTAAATTTCGATATATTTGATCAATACTATTTATTTCTTCAATACTTAATGTTTTAATAAAATGACTACTTATTAACATCGTTTCTTTTATTTCTTTTGTTAATTTAATAATTTGATTCATACATTCTTCTATTTCTTCTTTTCTTTCTTTTTCTTTATTACTACTTGTTATATTTTCTATTATAGTATAATACATTTGATTTTCTATTTCTATAATGTCTCTTTTATTCTCTACTTCTTTCTTTTCTTGTTTTCTTTTAATTGCATTAATACACTCATAACAACTGTTATTACTATCTTCATATTCTTTAATTTCATGTTCAATTATTGCTCTTTCACTTATTACCTCTATTTCTTCTTTTTCATTTTCTATTAATTCTTGAATTCTTATAAAATTCTCTTTAATTCCTTCTTTATTCTTTTCAATGACATATATGTTATTTAACC